TCGATAAAGTTCAATACTGTGCATGTTGTTTGACGTTCCTAACAGAACCCAACAACACGTTCTTACATAACATGGATACATAAAAGACATTATGGATATTGGATAACTCGGGAGGCAGAGCTAGACGATAGGCTACTTCGCCCACTCGCTCGAGAACGTCGAACGGGCCAATGAAACGGGGATGTAACTTCCCTCTCTTCCCGAATCGAATAATCCCTCGAAATGGATGAATTCTCAAAAAGGCTCGTTCTCTGACTTTGAACTGAATATCTTGTCTGTGCTTGCCGGCTGATGACTTCTGCCAACTCTGTGTTGTCTTAAGCCTCTGTCTGATCAGCTCAACTTGCTCAACTGTCTCCTCGATCATCTTCGGATCGAGTACTCGACGTTCGCCAACATCGTCCCAATAAAGGGGCGAGCGGCATTTACGCCCGTAAAGTGCCTCGAAAGGAGCCATCTGGATCGACGCCTGATAACTGTTGTTATAGGCGAACTCGACTAGTGGCAAAATCGACTTCCACTTAGCACCTCTGTCTAAAACCAACGCTCGGAGCATATCCTCGAGCGTCTGAATAGTCTTTTCGGATTGACCATCTGTCTCTGCATGGTAAGCCGAACTAAACTGTAACTGCGTGCCTATCGCCTCGTGTAAACTCTCCCAGAACCTGCTAGTGAATCTGGGATCTCGGTCTGACACAATATGAACGGGCACTCCGTGGAGTTGAACGATCCCACGGGTATAAATCTCGGCCAACTTCTCCATTGACATGGTCATCGATATAGATAGGAAATGTGCAACTTTCGTCATCTGTCCACTACTACCCAAATTGTGTCGTGGTGCTCGGACGATCTGGGCAGCCATGTAACGAAATCCATCGTGACTTCCTCCCACTTCCACTTTGGAATTTCGAGTGGTTGTAGAAGGCCTATTGGACTCTTGTGCTCAGCCTTAACTTGCTGACAGACCAAACACTTCTTCACGAAACTGGCAACATCTTTCTTCATTCCCCGCCACCATAATGACCTTTTCAGGTCGTGATACATCTTGGTGCTGCCGGGGTGAGCTAAATAAGGCGCGGTGTGTGCCTCTGTCAAGATCTCCTTCTGCAAGGCCTCGACCTTCGGCACTACAATCCTGCCTCTAAACTCCAAGGCGCCATATGCTCCTCGGAAAAAACCCTCGACTCCTCCGGCGTGAACCTTGGCCTCAATTGCACGAATAAACTGATCAGAAGCCTGCTCCCACCGGATTATGTCCGTTGTTGGGTTCTATTAGGAACGTCGACAATGTGCACATTCAAATCTA